AGGCTTATGTAAAGCATCCTTAGATATAATAGTCTATTTTAAGTTGACAACAACTTAACTTCAGTTACATACAAAAAGACTACTTTTCATTCCCCCTCCACATTTTATGTTTTTGATGTCACAATTTACATCTTTCTATGTCGTGCATCCATGAACAAATTATTGTAGCTAAAGTTACTCTTAATACTTTAACCTTATATTAGTTCTTTAATCTTACATGTAGTCTTCTCTGTATAGAGTAAAGCCTATTAAAATATAATTCTTTTCAGCTTCATAGGTAGACAATCAATTCATCTATAACTATTTAGAATTTTGTTTCTTCCCTTTCTATTCTCATATCCTTTGTTTCTTTTTCTCGTCGTATTGCTCAGGCTAATCAAAGTGTCCCAGCAAAGCGGTGATTATGAGCATCACCTTGTTCTGCTTTTAAAGAAAAGACTTTTCATGACTTGCCATTGGTTTTAACGTTTGCTTATAGATATCCTCCTCTTCCCAGTTTGTCATGAAAAGTAATAGATTTTACATAATGCTTTTCATACAGCTCTTTGCATAATTATGTGGTTTCTCTCCTTTGCTCTATTAATTTGATGAATAGATATATAAATTTGTATGCTAAAACAAGCTTATTCCAGTTCCCCAGAGAAATGAAAATGATGAAGTAGTAATCTGGCTTAGTCCTCTCTGAGAAAACCTGAGCAAGACTCATATCTCAGACCCCTTTGCTGTTTCCCTGGTACATGACTAAGCCTCTTGCTCCTCTCAGACCTTCTGAATGTGTCCTGAGCCACCACGACCACAGGACTTCCAGGGAGAGCTCTTCCCTCACAGCTGGCTTTGGACACCTGGGAAGAAATACCCTCACCTGCTTCCCAAAGCTGTTCTTCAAGAGTTTTAGTGACTGGGTTATATATCAGGATCCTAATTAAATTGTCGGGTTAAGGTTAGAATTTGTCTTGTAACTAGTGAGGAAACCCAGTCCACCAGCTTCCTCTCAGCCCCTCGTCCCGGGCTTGTTTTATCTACTATTCATGTGCCCTGGATACAAATCATAATACAGAGTGCTAACCCTATTCCAGGATTTTGTCCTCAGAACTGCACATACATTTTCTCATTTAATTCTGAAAACAACTCTCGTGAACCCAACTTACAGATGCAAAGAGTGAGGCTCAGAAAGGTTAAGTAAGTTGTCCGCAGTCGCACAGCTTATAAGTGGTGCTTGTGGGGTAAAGCCCGGGTCTGTCTGATCCCACAGCTTGTACCCTTACACTTGGCTGGAACACCTGAACAGAAGTATCTTGAGGTATGCCAAGCACTTCACACCTGACGGGGTGGGGACCCATGATTGTAGAGGAGAGCCATTTCTGGAGTTGGCATGCAGAGTGTTGTACTCCTTGAACCCAAGGCCCAATAGGTCAGATACCCTCTCGACCCCTCCACAGACACATCTGCCCCCACTCCCCCTCACCCTGCACAGCACCCTTGCTTCCTCTTTTGTACCTAGTGGAGACTCTCATGTCCTCTGACACAAACTTACTAAGAAATGACACTCTTTTTGCTGAATAATTAAAAGCAGGAAATACTCACTCTATAAAAGGAAGTGAATGAGTAAAAAACTCAAAGGTGATCTGGATAAGCAGAAGGGCAAGTCTGGCCTCAAGCAGAGCTTCAAGTGACCAGCTGGGATCCTAGTTTGCTCTCCAGTTGCGGGTCAGAGGGGCGATGAGTCGGAGAGACAGGACCATGTGGCTGTCCCCAGCTCTGCTGCTTCTTGGCCTCCCAGGTGAGTGTAGCTGGGGCCTCGGGAACTTGGCGCTCCAGGGGCAGGGCAGGGCAGGGAGCATCTGTCCCAGGTACAAAGAGAAGTGTCACATCTGGGGAAATGAGAGGTGGCTTTGTTAATTCATTCAGCAAAAGCTCATTGGGGTCCTACTTCATGCCAAGCATGCGGCAGGCCCTGAGGACATGAAAGGAAAAGAGAAACAGGAGTGGTTGTTACAAAGAGGACCCTGAATGGCTCAGTGGGTGAGTGAGACATATGGATAAACAACTGCTGGTTCCGGGACACAAGGAGGGAGCTCTCTGTGTGCAGGGTGACATGAGGCTGGACGTGAGGTTGCAAAGGCAAAAGACAAGCTTATGCGGGGCCTTAAACACCACGCCTGGAAACGCAGGCTTCCGAAGAGAAGATTGCTCAGGAACCCAGGTGGGAGTCAGGAGGGGCGCAAGTATCTCTTCTCTTTGTGGAATATACCAGTACAGACACTTAGAGGACATTACGGAGCAGTTTGCACAACGTATGCCATATGTGTGGGTCACACAGCCCTCTCTGGCTGTCTGGGGACTGGCCATCTGCCACAGACAAACCGGGTCACAGAGGGACCAGAGGAAATTGCACAGTCGGGGAGTTGGGAGACTTGAGTTCTGGGCCCGACAGGGGTGCATGACACGGGCGGGCCCCTCATAGTTCCAAGACCTGGCTTCTCATGGGAACAGAAAGTCTCTGGAGCCCTAATGATGTCGGACTCGACTATTCAGATCAGATATCAATAGATGAGGGCCGTGGGCTTTCCCCGAATTCTTGCTGCCCTTGTTGATTTTACTGATGATGATACTTGTCAACCAGCTGTGAGGGCAACTTCTCTGGGATGGCCATGTTCTTTAAGCAGGACTCTAAATGGCCCAGAATTCCCCAAAGACAGCAATTCAGAATGTCTGCCTCTCCCCCTGGGCTCCAGCTTTGCATTCGAGTTCAGAGACTCCCCCACCTGCTCCCGCTCTTGATCTCAATGTCCAGCTCACCGAAGGCCAAGGAGAAGGGTTTGGGTAAACCGTGCCTGAGCTCACGCTTTCTCACACACACTCACACGACACACACAGAGGAGTCAAACCCACACGGCCACGTGCGGTCCCACCTCCGTATATGGCTCTATTCTCACACACTCCTATACAGTCACATTCGCATACTCATCCAGGGTCACAGACACATGCATGTATTCACTCACAGGGACACCAAGTGACACACAGACTTGCACACACTCTGCACTCTCACGCACATACTCATTCAGAGTCTCCCTCACATGTACACGCCCCCCCAAAACACTCTTCTCCCTCAGATGAAGGCTGAGACCCGCCATGGCTGATCTGTGGCTTGGGGAGGGTGGGGAGATGTAGAGACAACATGGGGCGTCCCTCCTTACTCCGACTCTGTGAGTGAACGTGAGCAGGGGGTGAACTTCGTCAAGGATGAAAGAAAAGCCAGCTCATCAAGTTTTCACCTGTAGACTCTACCATTAGCTGCCGCGGGGTTACTTCTGTGAAGGGAAGGAGAAAAAATGGATATGGTGATGCCAGGATCACCCGGCTTCCAGTAAGACGTGCTCTTCTCTGCTCAGTTACGTGAGCCCCCAACCACCCTGCGAGGGAGGGAGGGTGCTCGGTAAGGGTTGCAGATGGAAGGCCAGAGGTCTGTTTTGCCAATGAGGAAAGTGATGCACAGATGGCCAGGGGCACAGACCTGCACCCCAGAAATGACTCTTCGGAACTTGGGCTGGCATGACAGCACAGGGACATCAGCAGAGAGACACCTCGACCCATCCGTGCAAATAACACGAGCGCCAATCCCATTACGCGCCCCCTGCTCTGAGCTCTCCTGTGGCTGCCTTTGTCTCATTTTGTGTGCCATTTGTCACTTGCTATCAGCCCCGACAAGGAGCTCAACAAAATTTTTCAATTTTGAGATAAGAGTATTCACACAAGGATTTCACAGACGTGGCAAACTTTCCTGAAGGATGGACACACAGGAAGAGGGTTACATCTCAGACTCATGAAAACGAAAAATGGAAATTCAAACGGCCTTATGCTTTTAAAGCCCAGCGACCTTTGTTCCCTGGAATTCTGCTGCCTGCTGACTACTGTCCCACATTTCTACCTCTCTTTTCCTTCAAACAAACTCAAAAATTCACATAGGCCTAATTAATAGTTCCATTCATCATAATCTGTATTTAGAAAAACATTCTGCGTGTTTTTTAACAATGAGCCCAATCACATTATGAGTGATTTACTGTCAGATTAAACGGGATGGACGAAGCTTCTAGAAGCAGAGCATCTCTTCTCTGCTGTTTGTGATCGCACCTCTATTTGCTACTGTAGCTGTGTTATTTTTTTTTTTAAGAAAGAAAATGACCCTATCTGCTGATTCTTGCATTCGTTTTAAATTTACATCAATGCTATCTCCTAACTGACTCCTTTTCTATTTTTTTTAAAAAATTATCTTTATGGTTTTATTAGTTAATGATATTGTAAACAATTTAATAGAATCGAAATATTTAATTTAGAAAGTGAAAATCCCCCCCAACAAAAACCGATCTCAGCCCTAACCACTTTTAAAAATTTAGGACACATATTTCAGATTTTGTTCCTACTCGTGGGCTATAAAACAAAACAAAACAAAACAAAACCCACAGGAATGGAATCATAACCATTCTGTTAAGCAACTTTTTAAAACCTAATCGTAATATATCTGGGACATCTTTCCCATCATTATCCGTGATTAGTTTTTTTCCTTTCAAGCACGTTAGAGATGGCCTCTAATTTACTAGCCCATTCTCCCATTCATGGCATTTGAGTCTCTTTCTAACCTTTACTGTTGCAACAGTATTGCAATTAGCATGCTTATTCTCGTTGTCTGTTGGTATGGAGATTATAGTTAATCCTAGAATCAAAACGAGTATGTCTATGATCACGCCGATCGGCTTCTTTTCAAAAACAATCATGAATCTGATTGGTACCTACTCAGTCCAGACACTGCACAAGCTATGGGGCATGTGGGTGGGAGGAGAGAGAGAAAAAACAAACATGAGATCTCTGCTCTTTGGGACAGAGAGAGCATCTTAGCAGGGGCAGCAGAGAGAGAGGCTGCTAAGGGTACTAAAATAACAACGTGGCATTCAGGTTCCGTTACAGGGCTGCGGGAGCGATAGGAGGAAGCAGTTCTGGTTGGGATGGGGCATAAGACTTTGCAAAGGAGGCTGAACCTCGAAGGGGACGTCGAAGGTTACAGTAGACAGGCAGGGGTTGGAGAAGGGGTTTCCGGAAGGAAGAAGGACGTGGGCGATGATAGAGCTGTCTGGGAGGACACGACAGAGCCAGGGGAAGAGAAGTATGGGAGTGAGTCAGAGCACAGAGGGAGAGGTGTGGGGAGCCAGGAAGTGGCACAGACAGGGAATTTGGATCTAGATCATAGAAAGACTTGAATGCCACACCAAAGCATTTTAGGTCGTTCCGAAGCAGGAGAGGTCCTGAGAGATTTTTAAGTGCTCACAGCAACTGCAGATAAGGACGAGGTAGGGACAATTTCAACGCACACCTCTGGCAGCTATATGCAGAGGAGAGTGGAGGTGGGGTGCAGCAGGAGCTGGGGAAACCTCTCCAGATGAGCACCCGACCTGTCGACAGGCTGTTGCAGTGACCCCCGAATGTCTGCCGTTTGACACGTATCCAAGTCTTACAAACAACCCGCAAGGGAGAAAGCAGCATCGCCATTTTAAAGAAGCGAGACTCAGAGGTTCAGTACCTTATCAAATTTCCCAACTAGTTTGTGGTCGACGTGTATTTCTGTGTCCAAAACACATTCTCTCTCTGCTGTGTCACGCTGTTCTTGTGGACTGCGAAAGCAGAGAAAGAAAGAAGAAAATCATTTTGAGAAGCATTTTGGAGGCAGAGTTGACTACGTCGGTTACCAGTGGGTTGTGGAGAGAGGAGGGGACAGATCGACAGAGACGCCAAGTTCCCTAGAGAGGCTGATGCAGCTGGTTTCACGGGCCTGAGGTCAGTTCTGCTGGTTTAATACTACGTTACTTTCTGACACAGGTTTATTGTCTTACAATTCCAAAGTGGTCTTACAAGCTAAGATCAAGTGTAGGCAGATCGCGTTCCTTCTCGGGGCCCTAGGAAAGAATGTTTTCTCTCCTTCCCCAGACTCTAGAGGCCGCCCCAAACCGTGGTTCGAGACCCTTTTCTCCATCTGCAAATCTCTCTGACTCTGACGCTAACCTCCCTTCCATTTATAAGGACCCTTGTGATGGCATCGGACCCACCTGGCTAACCCAGGATAATGTCCCCCATCTCAAGGTCCTTAATTTACTCACACCTGCAAAGTTTCTTTTGCCATGTAAGATGACATGAGCGCAGACTCTGGGGATTAGGGCGCGAACATCTTTGGGGGGCAGTATTCTGCCAACCACAAATGCAAACCTCAATGAAACTAAAATAGCTTCAGGGAGAAGGTCAGAGGTGTGAGGAGGTAGCGCCTTCCTGTTGCTAGCAGAGACGCCCCACCCCCGACTCCCCAGCGGGGCTCTGAGGCTCTGGAGCTGCGAAGTGGTCAAGAGAGGCTTCTGCCATGCTCCTCTGCTGCGCTGTGCTTATTCATTTCCAGGTGGTCAAGACACAAGTGGCCATTGCCAAGGGCAGGGAGCATATCTGAACACGGTCCGTTTAACTGGTGTCGATCCACAGAACAGCAGATACCTGTTCAATTTATCCGCATCTCTAACCTGTTCCACTCCCATCAGGCCTTTGCTAGTCTGTCCACGGGGATCTCCCCACTAGAGGGTGGAAAGTCCGAGGAAGACTAAGTTCAAGGGGGAAGAGGCGGTGCACTGAGTTCTGTAACTACCACATCTGGGGTAGAGATATCCAGTGAGTGTTTGTAAACGGTAGGCTGGAGCCAAGGAGAGAATTTGGGCTACAAATAAGGACGTAGGAGTCATCGGCATATAGGCAATAACCAAACCCACGGCACTGGAGAGTCGTTCCAGGGCACTGGAGTGGAGCGAGACGAGGAGGCTGGAGAGGGGGTCCTGGGTCCGCCCGTGGTGACCTGGGGCTGCTCAGCGATTCTGAACAGCACTTCCCACTTCTGCGTCCAGCGACACCACATGCGTCGTCTGACGAATTTGTACCCGCACTTCCCGGGTTACGCTGAGATTTAAAGAGAGAGGAAGAGAAACCGGTGGGAGCCTCTGAGACAGCGTAGTCAGAGAGGAAGCGTTTCCGGTGACAACGGCGTTGAGAAGACTGTCGGGAACGCGTCCGAAGGTCGGATCGTCACACACCGTGACCACGTCTAAGGAGATGAGGACCACAGAGGCCAGAGCTCTGCCATCGAGGGAGCATATGAGGAAGATGGACAGAGGAGAGAGAAGATGTGAAGAGTCAGCTAAGGGGCGGCTGGGAAGCCTGGGCGGGGACCCCGGTCCAGCTGCTGAACACCAGCTGGGGTGGGGGGTCAGGTCAGGCCTGACTCAGGGAGGGGGGCAGCATCTATATCTCGGGGTTCTGTTTCCTAGGCTGTTTGTCCATCCGAGGCCCAGAGTCCGTGAGAGGCCTGGAACGAGGCTCGCTGACTGTGCAATGTCGCTATGACCCAGGGTGGGAGGCCAACGGCAAGTGGTGGTGTCGGGGACCGTTCTGGAGTCTCTGCCAGATCCTCGTCCAGACCACACAGTCAGCGCAAGAGATGGATGAAGGCCGGGTGTCCATCAGGGACAATCAGAAGGACCGCTTGATCACGGTGACCATGAAGGAGCTCAAGCGAGATGACCAAGACACCTACTGGTGTGGGATTAGTAGGGTTGGAACGGACCGTGGGGTGTCCATTAAAGTGATCATTGTCCCAGGTAAGAATTTTCCCGTCCCTACTGTGAGGCTCAGGTCTGGGGGCTCCGGCTGCCCTCCTTTCAGGGCAGAGGGGAAGCGACCGAGTCCCTGAGGACCAGTCGTGGACAGCGTGAGAGATGACAGACAGCCGGGGAGGAGAGTGAGAGATGCCGGGGCAGAGAGGCAGCCCGCCCCACGCCCGTTCCCGTCACAGTCCCCGAGGTCCCCCTCCAAGGTAGTGGGGATGGGATGGTTTGGGGTAGGGGTGTGGCTGTGGACCCCACGGCCTAGCCCTGCTCTCCCAGGGACCGGACGGCCCCAGCGCTCCACATCCTCTTATAGGAGCCCCGATGGGCCTCAAACGCCTGCAGGGGGTCTCAGGCCTCGCTCTAGGGAGTGGTCAGTCTCCAGTAGCCATGCTCTGAATCTGTCCTTACATGGAGAGAAGCAGGGGACACCTGGAGCAGCCCAGAGGGTGTCAACACTGAACCCAGAGTGGCCCTGGACCTTTTCCAGAACTCTCCTCTCTGCATCCCCAGCGCCACCTCAAAACCCACCCCCTACCCCCCGCCTGGCCCATTTCCTTTATGTGGCTGCATAAGAGGAACCAGAGATGAGCTCAAGGAGCTCAAGGAACAGTGGACACTTGAAGGAGAAAGGAAGGTTTTGACTATTAAGCCAACATCAGGGACCTCTTTGGCCGCCCTGGGGTCTCCCTGGGCCTGAAGCCATCAAAGGATTTGGGGGTCTTCCTGGTGGCACACGGCTCTACTGCTGTGGCCGGCGCCTGAGAAACAGCCCCTCTTCCACCCAGCCCGCATGTGGCCAGTTGTCCCTCAGCCCAGCGTCCACTCAGGAGTGGCAGATGGTGATGCGCAAACAGACAACGCGGACTTTAGAACAAGCCTGTTTATTGTTAGCTTTGGAACCAGGGAGTGACAGGGGCTGCCACCAAGTGAAGTCCAGAGAGGACCAGTTGAGCAAAATGTCCCAGGACTGTCCAGTAGGGGTAGCCAAGATCTGCAGGGACAGAAAAGGGATTGATTAAAGCACATGAGCAGGGACCGAGACAGGCTAAAACGTGCCCCATGGGAGTTTACAGAGGAAGGCGTTTAAGGGTCTTGGGTGGGGCACCCGGGGAGGGACCAACCTGTAAGGTGATCAGAAGCCTCCAGAGGGGCCGTTAGGACAGCACTTACCTGGAGCACAGACCAAGATGGGACCTTGCAAGACAGAGTTTGCCAGGCCCATGACTCAAACGCAAGGCAGATCACGGACACTCGGCGCCAATCCATGACCGAGCTGCCCGCCATAAACCGTCCCATAGTTTCTCATAAAGATGTTTCATTCTTCAAAGTCACTGTGCGCTATTTAACCGGAATGTGCCCTCGTATCCACGAGGCTTCCGGAGGGCTCCTCCCTCTCGCCACCCCGATAATGAGTCAGACGCCCCATTTCCAGAACCGTCTGTCCCTGAGCCCTGCTTAGGCCCTGCTTGAGCAAAAGGACCAGGGATGATTTTTCCCAACCAACAGCCCCACTTAGAGGAGGAAGTGGAGAGACTGTGACAAGGTGGCCCCCTTTCCCCTGGATCAGCTACAGTGTTTACTCTTATTAAATTTTTATTTCTTCTTGCTGCACTTGAAAATGCTAGAATCGATGACTGTGTTTTGATTCGGATGACTCAGTAGAAAGGGGAGAGGCCGAGGGGCTCGTCCAAAGAGACGAAGCTCCCTAATCCAGGGGAAGGGGAGGGGCGTGTCTCGTGGTGAGGACGGGCAGGGCTCCTGTGGCAGTGTGGCCTCGTGCCAACCCTTAGTCTGTGCCAATCACGTGTGGTGGAATCTTCCCATGTCTAGAGGGGACAGTTCTGCCCACCGCGGAAAACCTGCTGTCTGGGACAACCAACGGCCACAGAAACATGTCTTCCGGCCCCTCTTCCGGCTCCCACATCAGGTGAGTGGCTGTGGCCCTCTCTCTTGCCCCCACCTGAGGCCTCTCCCATGATGCAGCCGGGTCTGGGAACCCCTCTGCCCCTGTGTGGCCACTTGATGCCGGAGCCTGTCAGAGGCAGGCTCAAGGCCCAAGCCCCGGCTCCATCTCACTCCTCACCCGCCATCCGGCCAACCCCAGCCTTCACCAGAAAACCCCTCTGCAGAACACGCCTCCGCAAGCGTTATCACCCTGTTCGGTCGTCAACGAGAAAAGCACGGATGACCTAGTGGGTCCACAATGCAAGGTGTCAGGTGCCACTGAACACGAGGGTGATTTGGCAACCTGGAGCTGGCATTAGTGGGGTGGGGAGGACAGCGAGGCACCCAACAGCCTGTCCTGGGTGACCTGCAGGCCCTGGAGGGGCCCAGGGCCCTAACCACTCCATCCTCTCTCACAGGACCCACTACGTGCTCCTGGTGTTCGTGAAGGTGCCCATCTTGCTCATCTTGGTTGGTGCTGTCCTCTGGTTGAAAGAGCCCCCGAGTGACCCCCAAAGAGCACTTGGAACAGCCTATCTATAAAAACTTGTCCTCCGACTTGACCAAAGATACAATCCCTTAGACAGACAGATGAAAAGACACTTCCGACCCTGGCCCCCACTTCCGGAGGGGACACGGAGCGTGGAAGGAACAGTTCTGAGGCCTCAGGATGCAGTGACTGCGGCTGGGAGCTCAGGGGCTGGCCGGGCATCCTCCCTGCTCCGCACAACTGGAGGACATGACCCTCCTGAGGCAGCGCTGCCTGAAATGCTCCCGCTCCTTCAGGTAGAAAGCAGCCCACCCCACCCCGCCAGAGCTGGAGCCCGGGTTAGGATGGTGGTGTCCCCCCTGTTGGAGGACATCTGGGCGCAGAGCTGGGGACCGACAGAAGCACAGAGAAAAGCAGCAGGAGTGTGAGAGAAAGACACAGAGACGGGGCCCTGGCCAGTGCCTGGTTCCCGTCATCCCTGAGACCAGCTCACACGCTCCGGGTCCGAGCTTCCGAGATATGTATAAGTTTTTTAAATCATTTATTTTCGAGCTGGTCAAGTCGGGTTTTGATGGGAATCGCACACATACAGAGACACGCACACACACCGAGGAGGATGATTCTGTGGCGAGTTCCTGGTTCTGGGAACCGACAAGCTGGCCGTGCCCTCTGCTCAGAGAGGACACCGCTCTGAGTACATGGGGCCGAGGGAGGATGGGAGCCTCGCTGGGCCGGGCCCCGTGCTGGCCCTCCCCTCCCTCCTCCCCTCCCTCCTCCCCTCCCTCCTCCCCGCCCCTTTCAAGAGGGGCCCCAACGTGGCCCAACAGCACTTGGGAGCATGCTCTGGGCCCACAGCCATGACCCCGGAGGTCTGGGGGTCTCTCCCTGGTGTCTGGCAGCTCGTGAGTTTCTGGACGTTCCTTCCTCTGCCACCTTACGGCCCCCGGGACATCTTCATAACACAGGAGATGCGGTTTGTGTGCGCCTAGCGGGATGTGCAGCCCTCAGGCTCTGCATTGTGCGCTGAGCTGCCAATGGCTGTCCTGGTCCGGAGGGGTGTCTTTGGGGGCCCCTCACGTGGACCACGGGAGAGAGGAGGCCACCAGCTGCTTAGGGACATGGGCCACCTCTGACCGTCATGAGCCAGGCGATCTGGAGCAAACGATACACCCCACCCCATCCTAAAGGAGGTGGGGGTGCGCGGTGACAGTCCGGTCCCTCGGACAGCAGTGGAAGGATTTAAACGAGATGACGCATGCCCGGGGCCCCCTCCTTCCCTTCCTCCCTCCCTTCCTCCCTCCCTCCCAAGCCCCTGCCCCCCACCCCTGAGGAGCCGGGGCTTCTGGGCGTGACTTAGGAGTCTGGCCTGCTCCTCTCCCTTCAGCACAGGTGCTCAAGTTCCCGCGGGGGCTGCGGGGCCTCGGAAACTACCTCAAGGTCAAGGCCGACGGACAGACATGAAAACTGAGGAAAACGCTGTCGTCTCTTTTAAGCGATGTTGTTTACATAAAGTTACTTAAAACTGTCTGAGGGAAATAATATGGCTTCTCTTTAACGATGTTTTAAAAATAGTCTGGGTAATTATAAACGTCCGAGGGGAACGATGCTGCCGCTTTCAAGCTCCTCACTCACCAGAGGGACACCCTTGGGCTCAGTCACCTTGTGCCTCAGGCGTCCAGAGTCCCCCCACCAAAGGGAGCGTCACTTCCCATGAAGAAGAAACAGCTCCACTTGAGAAGCACCCCGCCCCCCCCCACACACACGCACACAAACGACCGTAGAGACGCGCGACTGGAATGTGTCACTCC